TTAAAGAAAAAAAGAGTGCAACACACACACACACACACACACACACACACACACACACACACACACACACAAGTTAAAAAATACATGTCAAAAATTTGGTTGGGGATATAGCTCAGAACTTCAATACTAACATGAACAGGCCTTTTAATACCTAACATGCAAAATAAGTCATCATTATTTTCTCATATACTACACAAGCATCATTTAATTTAAAACTTGGGGTTGGAAAGATGGCTCAGTGGTTAAGAGTGATGGCTGCTCTTTCACAGAGTATCTGAGCGAAATTCTCTGAATCCACGTGGCACTTCTGAACTGTCTGTAACTCTGGTTCCAGAAGCTCCAGTGCCCCCCCTTCTGGCCTCTGTGGCACTGCACACACATGGGTCTATAGACAATCATACAGTTGAAACACCCATATACATAAAATAAAAAAATAACAAATAACATCTCAAAAAACAAACTAAAAAACCCACTCTAGATTAAGGTAATTATACACACTTTCAAAGAGAAGATGGTCTGAGAAAACTCCTCTCCCCTCCTCAATACACTATCTTGCTTTTATGTAAAAAATACTTTTGAAGCCAGTTCTCTCTAATATACTAATATTATAACATCTTAAAAATAAGATACCAGGTCTAGAGTGGTGACACATGCCTATAATCCTAGCATTCTGGAAGTAGCAGAATCAGGAAATCCAGAAACTCAAGTTGAGCTACACCCAAATTTCAGACTAGCTTGTCTAAAAAGAAAATAAAAAAATTAAACAGGAAAAAAAAAAAAACCAAAAAACCAAAAAACAAACAGGGCTCAGGATATACCTCAGTGGTAGACAAATACTTGGCATATATGAGTCCCTGAATTTAATTTCTAATACCAACACCCTCCCAAACAAAGTCACTACGTACATATAGTATAACAAAACTGGACATACCAATGTAAGTAGTTAATGGAGTAACTCCAGTGATCTTCAATATGCCAGCAAAAAGAAGAAAAACACATCCCCACATACAGCCATGGCACCTTCATACCAGAAATGTCCACGTTAATATGTGCAAGAACAGACTGCTCCAGAACAGGCATGTTATTCAAATTCCAACCAGAAAGTGCATATTCCTGTAAAATAAAAAGTTAAACAAAAAACCAGTTTACAAGTGCTAAACAAAATCTTTTTTTTGTTTGTTTGTTTGTTTTTCGAGACAGGGTTTCTCTGTGGCTTTAGGGGATGTCCTGGAACTAGCTCTTGTAGCCCGGGATGGTCTCAACCTCACAGAGATCCGCCTGCCTCTGCCTCCCGAGTGCTGGGTTTAAAGGCATGCGCCACCAACACCTGGCTTCTGGTTTTCCTTTTATTTTACATATTTCTAGTTTACTCTGAAACACAAGAGCAAAGCTATAAAGTGTGCCACATGGGAGTAGATTGCTTTTCTCTTTCTACTGTGCCCTACCTGCAGTGGCATCTTCCATTTCATATCAGAGTATCCCAGTAGCATAACTTCCCAGAATGATTATTACAATATATAAAGCACAGTGCTAGATACGGTCAGGACACATAATCATGAATTTATAGCACTATATTAAGTTGATGTAACACAGAAAGTCATTGTACTACCTTTCTTCACCAGAAATACATCAGGAAAAACAACAAATTTAAGATTAACAAAAAAACTTATGGGGCTGCAGAGATGGCTCAGCAGTTAAGAGCACCACTGGCTACTCTTCCAAAGGACTGGGTTCAATTCTCAGCAATCACAGTTCACAGCTGTCTACAACTCCAGTTCCAGGGGATCCAACACACTCACAGATATGAATACAGACAAAACACCAATGCACACACACACACACACACACACACACACACACACACACACACACACACAC